ATTGTGAAAGAGTGGTTCAGACTCTTATTGTGAAAGAGTGGTTCAGACTCTTATTGTGAAAGAGTGGTTCAGACTCTTATTGTGAAAGAGTGGTTCTGACTCTTATTGTGAAAGAGTGGTTCAGACTCTTATTGTGAAAGAGTGGTTCAGACTCTTATTGTGAAATGTTTAGACTCTTATTGTGAAAGAGTGGTTCTGACTCTTATTGTGAAAGAGTGGTTCAGGCTCTTATTGTGAAAGAGTGGTTCAGACTCTTATTGTCAAAGAGTGGTTCTGACTCTTATTATGAAAGTGGTTCAGGCTCTTATTGTGAATGAGTGGTTCAGATTCTTATTGTGAAAGACTGGTTAAGGCTCTAATTGTGAAAGAGTGGTTCTGACTCTTATTGTGAAAGAGTGGTTCTGACTCTTATTGTGAAAGAGTGGTCCAGGCTCTTATTGTGAAAGAGTGGTTCAGACTCTTATTGTGAAAGAGTGGTTCCTGACTCTTAGTGTGAAAGAGTGGTTCAGACTCTTATTGTGAAAGTGGTTCAGACTCTTATTGTGAAAGAGTGGTTCAGACTCTTATTGTGAAAGAGTGGTTTTGACTACCATCATTGATGAAAGATCGTACAGAAACATTAACACACCAGATGAAATAAATCTGCTGACATCACAGTTTATCAAACAGGAGACTGTGATGTCATCAAAGCTGAAGGTCCAACAAATATTACTGACCTTGTATTTGGTGACACTTATTCTTCAACATCTTTGTGTTACTGTGTGTTAATGTGCTTCAACAGGCTCGTGTATTTCTGCTGTGATCAGCTGGTGTTGGTCTCTTCCACCTGCTGTTTGGAGTCATTTTTATATTTTAATGTCATCAGTTTTATTGTCCCACAGAGAAAAGCTCAGGGCCTGCAGTTATACAGGCTACACACTAAATACATGCTTGTTTTGTGTACAAGTTGTGTAGTAGACACGTGTAGGCAGGAGTTGGTTTTTTCTTTCTGCTGATGCCGTAATGGTGTCATGCTAATCCATGCTAATCCACGTTAAACCAAACATCAAGATGAAATGAAAACTGCAGAAGAACTGAGCTCAGCATTATTTTAATATAAAAACATTATTTTCCAGCTACAAAAGAGTCCTCAATAAAAGAACTCATCATCCAAACTACAAAACATTAGTTCATAAAACAAATAGAAAAGATGCAGATAAAAATGTAAAAAAGAAGATATTATTATTGTTTAATAAAGTTTTGTTTGTAAAACTTAAAAACAAGCTGAAAACAATGTTTCAGGATTAATCTCAGGCTCGGCAACAAAAAGTGACACTTTGTACCTCAGCTCAAATACAACAAATGTGGAAAAAATAAAACCACACAAGTCAAAGTACAAACATCTGTATTATTATTATTATTATTATTATTATTATTAACTGATTCTTCTCAAGTAGAAGCAGTTAGTTTCATAAACATCCTGTAACACTGAAGACAAAAGTTCGTTACTTTGTAACATCAGCAGGTCAGTGAGAGCTGAGCTGTCAGTGCAGCGCTTCACTTTAACAGCTTTAACAGCAGGAGTACACGGAAAATACTCATCATCCCAGGAGTACACGGAAAATACTCATCATCCCAGGAGTACACGGAAAATACTCATCATCCCAGGAGTACACGTAAAATACTCATCATCCCAGGAGTACACGTAAAATACTCATCATCCCAGGAGTACACGTAAAATACTCATCATCCCAGTAATAGTCAGTACACAGCTGATACGTGCTGTTGTCTCAGTGGTATCAGGGTCAAATGAAGACTCCTCCACACCAGTAGGTGGTGTAGCAGCAGGATGTGTCCTTTTCAAACCCAGACATTGACCTGATAAGTGACAGAACCAGGACCTGAGGAGGACACTCCTCAGGTGTTAGCGTTGGAGGCTAATGACTAGCATGACTAGGCTGGTTACCTTATTAGTGCATACCTGTTTTTTTGAAAGAAAAACTTTATCATGAATCTGATGATAAAAAAGTTGTTTGCAGTCATTTCAAAGTCCTGATTCTGATAAAATATTAAATACTTGCTTATTTAAAAAACCAATACACAGTATAAGTTTACAAAATGCTCAACATTTCTCGTTTTTAAAGCTTCTGTTCATGTAAGAGTTCTCAATATTACCACTTTATTTTCATAATTTAAAATAATTTTAGTCTGGCTCCAATACTCTGCATTTTCTTCATGAAGTTGTCTTTTTTAAAAAGGTACATATCTAATGAAGTAACCAGCCTAGATGTGCCAGTTATTAGCCTGCAATGCTAACACGTGAGTAGTGTCATTCTCCTGGTGCTGTCCATCCATCCATCCATCCATCCATCCACCCATCTACCTATCTACCCATCCATCCATCCATCCACCCATCCATCCATTGACTCATCCATCCATCCATCCATCCATCCATCCATCATCCATCCATCCACCCATCCATCCATCCATCCATCCATCCACCCACCCATCTACCTATCTATC